AATTTATTCTAAATGCCCCTCTTCTCACACAACTCTTCTAAATCCATTTTAGCATATTAGGCTGCTAGTATCAAAACAAAGTTTCCAAAGCAACAAATAGGCTGACATGAACATGTTGAGTGACCACCTCACTTTCCAGCTCTCTGTCCTCTCAACTTTTAATGTGGAATCTATATAAAACAACTGATATACTCGCAACCTGTTATGAACATCAATAATTTATGAGAATAGATTGTCTGGGAAACGATTTAGCTTTAAATGAATACAGTAGTATACATGGCATTTCGACAGTTGTTTGGTGCTGGGGGACAACTTTGATGGGCTGTAGTATCAGCAAATGTAGGCTGACCCATTAACCATTATCAGTAAATGTAGGCTGACTTTTGGTTGCTTTTAGAACTCATATATATACAGGGTGTTCAGAAAGCCATTGTGCACTTTTCTAATCATATTTTTATAATGCATTCATATAATGTGTATCTAATCATAATCCACCATACTTTTATCTATGGGGAGCAACAAAATCTGCAGTGTATCAAGATCGTCCACACATGCTGGATGACTGGGAAGCAGCAATAACAGCATTCATTCATTCAAGTGAACAACTGATAACGGTGTTTAGAAACAAAATGAGAAAGATTCAAGCCTGTATTAAATCTAACGGGGATAACTTTCAACATTGTTTATAATTGTCATTTGTATTTACTCCTGTATTCTATATCTGTTAATAAATACATAAGTGCACAGTGACTTTTTGAACACCCTGTACATGCAAATTTTCTAACAAGAGTTCAGATACACTTAGTATAGTTTATTATATATGATAATTAGATAGCTAATAAAAAATATTAAAAAACGTTCATCTCCACAATTTAAAATAAAGAAGTAAGATTATCTGTATTCTTTCAAATTTATATAAATTTAACTCACTATTGCATTTTTAGTTTTCTGACGAATCGGTCTTAGTCTAGTGGATTTCAGTGGCGAAATCAGATATTGAATTTTGTCATCATTTTTGTCTCTAACGGCTTTATCAGCACCTTCTTTACTCGAAATAGAATTTGTCCGTCGGTGCCGATCTTGTCTACCAGCTGACATATTCCGATCTTTCGTCACGTCACTTCTGTAGTCTCTATCTTTACTTGGAATGCTAATTGAATCGGTTTGTGGAGAATCATAAGAAGGATGTGACAAATGTCGATCTCTTGTCAAATCTTTTCTACAATTGCAATATTCTGGATGTGAACATTGTTTGGAGCTGGGATTACAATACCAATGATGACTGCAGTGAACGGACAGTTGCTTGATGCTTTCGCCATTTCTCATACAGCAGCTGTGGCTATTAACAGAGTGCTGAGATTCACTGTTAAGGAAATTTTGAATTAAAATGTGTCGCATTTGATTGAAATATTTTCTTGCAGTTTTTTGCATGCAAAATAAACTCAAAGTTTTATTTACAAAATTCAAAACAATTCAATGTAATTCCTAGTAATACAACATATAAAGTCAACATTCAATTTCTACTGTGGTTTGCCAAGCCATTCCCATGTCAACAGTACAAATGATTTCACACGTATGCACTTGTTTGTGAAGATAAACATTCATATAAAACTTTCAGAGTTTATGTCTTGCATGAAAAAAACAAAACAAAAATATTTCAATTCTTGATTTAGTATTGATGTCCAAAGATGCAAAGATAATTACAATATATTCTATTTATTTTACGATTTCAAACTTACCAACAAGAATTTAACTGATTGTGTCTTTCAATTTTATCACAAGAATGTTGACAGCTTTTATGTTCTCTCCCAGATTCTGCATTTCTGCAGTAACAACGAGAATTATTACAGCAATGACTTCCTGTAATGGCTTGATTGGTATAATTTCTGCAATGACAGTGATTTTGGTTTACGCACGCACTGTCTTTATTACATCTACAGTCCGACCGACAAATGCAATCATCAAAATTATGCAAACAATGTTGAAAATCTTCCTTTGGCGTAACATTTTCTTCTAAACTAGAAAGATTTAAAAAGAAATTCTGTATACACTTATATGTAACAATTTATATTTACAAAATATAAATCAACCTCTCGAGACTGGAAATGCTTACATTAAATGATACCACACCAATACCAAAAGGGCTCAGCAACTAAATAATAATAACGAAAACACCTTTTTTTGCCGAGAAATAAATATAATTTGCAAAAACAAACGTTTTCAGCCTAGTTAATAGGCCATCTTCAGGTCGAAAAAATGGAACGCAAATGTTCCATAAATAGAACATAAAAATATTT